GATCAACTGCCTGATTATCTGTACTTCCGGTCACATGATCAACTGCCTGATTGTCTGTACTTCCGGTCACATGATCAACTGCCTGATTATCTGTACTTCCGGTCACATGATCACTTGTTGTTTCAGTCCCATTCCTATGCTGCTTTTCATTTTTATTCACAAGACTTTCCATTTGTTTATCAGCAATGTTATCTTCATTAGTATCGTGTATTTTTGTGGACTCGGACACGCGTTGTCCTGTATTTCCGGTCACGTGCTCAGTAACGGTTCTTGAAGCATCAGAGTGACTTGACGACTCGTTCAACTTGCCAATATCTATTTTTGGCAAATCTTTACCCGTAGTTTCTTGTTTTCCATTTTCCAACTCTGTTTTTAATGATTCAATACTTCGTGCAGTTTTCTCGTGTCCAGACGAACAAGAATCACCACTCTTTTCTTTCTTGTTATCGTCACTACCATTTTCGGTCCCAGCCTTCCCTCGATTTTGGGGGCCTTTAGACTTTGGAGGACTGGCAACTAAGAGTAAGAATTAAATCGATATTAGGATACACGGTGTTGGGCTAGCTTCGTATGAGCATCGTATGACAAAACCGATTGCGTAAACATATTCGCGCACAGCTGGAAATACGACTGCACAACTTATACCGTTGGCAAATACCGCAATCTCAAACCTTTGACTATTCCCCAGAAAGAATCTGAAACTCGCAGTTGGTCGCAGTTTGTTTATGGTTTTATCATTCTAATGAAACAGCCGCCATGTTGGATGATCTAACAAAAGAAGCTAATGAGGAATGCTTTGATATCGTCAACAACATGGCGAGGCGTAAGATGCACTCCTAGAATTTAAGTTGTGGGACAAGATTTTGAATCCCCTGGGAAAACTACTGCTACGCTGATTGGTTCGTCTGCGTCGGAACCATTATTCTTGATTGACTTCCATTTTTATTTTTTTTTTTTCTTTGGGGGGGGGGGGGGGGGGTGGGGGTGGGGGTAGCTTTAAAAATGGGACCCCTACATCTACTCCCAAAGAGAACCAAATGCTATATGTGGCTGTAATAAGCCTTTTCATAGTTTAAGAATCGATTCCACTGCGCATGCTATTTTTGTTCTTAATTAAACAAAAGAAGGAGAGAAATTCGGGATAAATTCGCATGCRCAGTGGAATCGATTCTTAAACTATGAAAAGGCTTATTTAGGCTATGTTAAAACTGTCAAGTCAAGCTGGTTCAGCGGTATCCCCAATTAATGCAGGCTCCGTTCCAGGGGTGGGGAGGGGGGAATTGGCTTGCATAGGGTTAGGGCTTATTGGCAGGGTTTGCTGTTCAGGCTTTTAGTGTTGTGGTTGCTTTGCTTAGCTTCAAATGAGTTTTAAAAGGAGTTTGACTGATTAATACTACATCAACAACGAACATGGTACAGCAAGACAGCCTCCTGGCAGCCATGTTGAATGGCAGAAACCACACACAAAATATCATTCAACAGTACAGTCGTCGATTAGTTTTATTAGTGATTAATAATATCTTCATAAGTAAATATAAAAATAAGCATCATGAATCCTGACAAACCTTAATATCTCAGAAATAAGAAAATTATTTGTATTTATAATTCATGATATTCTAATATTTATTAATTTGTAAATTTGATCCAGCGTTAAGTTGTCATGAATAATATCTCAGAAATATGAAAGTGGTTTGGTTTTCATTAGTATTTACAGAGCAAGAAAGACGACAAAGAGGAGGAAATCTAAGCAAATAATCACAAGAATTGAAYGACAGTATATAAATATTTTCTTTAAATGATTCAACGACTTTGCAACCTCATTCAACATGGCTGCCAGAGAATATTTCTTGCTTAATCGCCGCCACCTTTGGTGCTTGCTTTGTCTCCATTATCCACCTCCTTTTCTCCTTCACCTTCTTCATCCACTTCGTCCAAGCACGCAGCAACCATGCTTCGTGTGAAGCCCAGAGCAGGCGACACGCTTCTGATCGAAGGATGAACATCAAGCTCTTCATTCATTAGCTTCTCRATCTTCGATTGCCTTTCAGCGTTCCAAGATGGCGACCTACCGAAAGATCCAGTACTGGCGCTGATGTCATTGAGACTTTTTCCTGAAGACGCTGTTTCTTTAGATCCTGGAACCAAAAGGTTCGAGGATACTGTGTTTTGATGGAAGTGAATTTTACTKTCACCTRTTTTGCTCGTGGTGGAAGACCGYTGTTGTCCATGACAACCATCGTTTACTGAACCCTTAAAGTTTTCGACCGARTGCTGCGTTATTAGCTCGGGYTCAAATTCGTCATCGACCTCAAGTCGTATCGTCACGATTTCCTTCTCGTGTTYGTGATCCGTTGTCATGGCAAYRCTAGACTCTCCCATATTGGTCATATTCATCACGTGACTTCTTTGATCATTACTCACGTGACCATCACGAGTGATTTTCACCTTTGATCCCTCGGTCTCCATAGCAACAGTTCGGTCAACAGGTTCTTTGTCGATGCGTGCGTCATCAACYGACTCACATACTACATCTGCATCCACGATAGCACGTTTAAAACTTTCCACACTAAAAGCTCCACCTTGCGTACCACCATCTTGTAAACAAGAAGACTGTTGTTCTACCAAGTCCTTGTCCATGCTTTTAGAGCTTCCGAGGATCTCAGATATCACGTGTTCCGGTAAGGGCGTGGCACTTCCACGTGACCCTTCTTCCCCATCGGCTGTAACTGTCTTTGGGTGATCACCTTCATATGGTGACGCAGCTCCAACATCATCCTCTTCTTGYTTTATACTTTCTTTGCGATCGACAACACACTGATCCTCCTTTTTTTCTAAATCCAAACTGGTTTTACTAGTTTTAAGGATTTCCGGCGAAACATTTTTCTCGGTATCGCCAATAATTTCTGATGGAAAATTTATCGAGTCTCAAAGCTTCTCTTTGGAGTGGATTCCTCCTTTCTTCGTGTCATCTTTTTCAGTAGGGATGACATCTAAATCATTCAAGGGCAAATCCATCTGCTTCTCCTTAACGATTTCTGTTGGAATATCCCTCGATGTTTCAAGCTGTAAGTTTTGAAGCTCTTCTTGTTCTTTATGTGGAAAGGTACTTTTAGTYAAGGGAGTTATTCCTCCAGTAAAACTGCCACTCCGCCCCCCTTGCGTTATGAAAACTTTCTCGGTCTTTTCAACCTGGACTGTTTCATACACATCTTCTGAATCAATCTCTTTAGTATTACTTCTTTCTCCTACTTTCCCAGAACCACTGAGGTACGATTYGCTAGATGATTCTACAGGCGCAGCGAGAGGTAGTTCTTTTTTGGATACAGATATAGTGGGTTTGTCAACCACACCCAAGAGGTTTTTTCCTGTCTGTTCTTTAGTGGTATTATCTACTGTCTTCTTGCCTGTCTGTTGTTTARTGGTATTGTCTACTGTCTTATTGCCTGTCTGCCTGTCTACATCGCTATGGGTA